GAAAGAACTTATGCTATAGACACAATAATTTACATTTTAAATAGGTTATTTAGGATGTACCAAGACGAGTTAGATGTCGCCTGGTAGGAATCAATCTAAATTTCAAATTTTATATTATAATATTATTAATTAATTGATTTTTTTTAAGGATTGAACAAGTCACTCCAGACACAAAAAAACATAAATTCGATGGTATATATAAAGTTATCAGCACAAGAGGCAAAGGTCAAACTATTGTTATTATTGAATTTTCACGTGGAAGAACAACTCCCACATCCAAGAGAGATGGTGATTCGCTTAAGCTTTGTCGAAACGCTATGAGAACTTTAAATGCATTATTAGGAAGGGTACCCAAGGAGCGTGCACGCATCTACTTAGTGCAGTCATTCGGTAAGTAATTACAATTGGGAGTTAGATCGTAAAAGATTACTTTTTTGACATATACAGTATTTCTTTATAGACGGATTTGTTGAAATTAAGTATTTAGTTCGACCACTGCCAAAAATTTATATGTTACAACAATTTGGGCGCATCAAAATACCTGCCACCTTTGGTGATTTCGAACAATTTTCAAAAGACATGATATGCTTGATGGATTGGCAGGTAGGGTATTGAACGTGTTTATAGCTCTATCAAACAAATAATAATTTTTTTTTTTACAGACAGATGTCTTGTCAACAGCTAGAGCAATAAATAAAGCAACTACGAACTTTATGGAAAATAATAATAATATTTGCATAACTTCAGTGAATGATACGCCACAGAAGAAAGAAAGTAACAAAAATCAACCCTTACCTAAATCCCCATCTCCCGATTCCTCACCTCCCAGTTCTCCATCTTCCCTGTTTCTCTTCGTCGGATCGCGTCATCAGTTCATCAGAAAATAAATTTAGACGATTTAAACAATACGCTATTTAGATCAAAAAATTAAAAAAAAATAATATCGACTGCGATTTTAAAATGTAAAAACTTATTTTTATAAATTCAAAATATAAATAATGAAACGACCAAGTAATTGGAATCTTGATACTGTAAAGCTATTACAGATTTACTAAATTTTCTACGACCGAAATTCTGTTACACATCTTAAGTAAATAACAGAACATATACAGTATATTACTAAACATGCAATCCACAATTGATTCGTTGAAGGAATTGAATTCCAGGTTTGTATCCGAAATTGACTGAGGTTGAGGCTGAGAATATCGAACTAAGAATGTGAAAGTTATGGCAGAGAATACTGAGATTAAAACCGGTAGTGTAAAGTTAAAGCAAGCTTTAGAAGAACATGAAACTAGAATCACCAATATAGAACAGAAAAATACTTTTGCTGGAAAGTATATTTTATATTAAGTAGCTTTTTGGCAAAATAAATGCTAGATACTCCAAGTCAGATTTAAGAACAATATTTCACTTCTCTAATAGATTGGAACTAGGATCTCTATTTATTAGCATTATTGTCAACAGTTAGTTATTATATATTATTTTGAAAAAACAATAAATTTTGAATTGATATACTAGAAAAAGAAAAAGAAGAAAAGAAAAAGTAAATAATAATTTAATGCCTCTCAAAAGATTCCTATTCAAGTAAACAATCTTCTTTCAAAAGGAATTTGCTTGATTAAAATATTATTTGACTTCTATTTCAAAAACTTATTTTAAGAAAAATGTTTAAGAAACTTATTCTTTTATAGATATATGAATTTGTTTATTGCATTATTGATGCCAATATTATATTACAAGAAGTTTACTTGCTTGATTGAGATAAAGAAATCTCTTTATAAACTGTCTAATTAAGATAGAAGTTTAAAACCCATGGTTTTTTTTTAAAAGTGTTTTTTTTATTATTTAAGAAACTTATTAAGAAATAAAAGAATTATATTATATATCTATCTTTTATTATTATTTTTTTTTAATATTATAAATACAGTATTTTATTTGAAGAATTTGCTTAGTTTAAGAAAAATATTTTTTCAAAAAAATTTTTTTAATCCCATTTATTAATTATTATGAACACCGATAAAGATACATAAAACAATTGTATCATGATTAAACTAAATCATGTATTGATATACTTATTAATAGTTTTTAATTTTCAAAAGAACTTTAGTTTTTAAGTGCAATTTTGAAAACAATATTTGCTTTATAGTAAATTTTGGATAAATAAACTTCTAATTTATATATCATTGATAACAAGTTATTACTGTTTATTATATTTCAAGGAACTAGTTTTGAGAAACTACAAAAAAAGAAAAAAAAAATAAAAGAAAAATAAAATATTTAAAACTATGCAATTATACTACATAAAAAATAAATAAATAAATAAAATAAAGATATCCAATACCTTTCAAAAGACCTCTACTGAAAATTTCTTCTTATTAGAAGTCAATTTTTCTGGAATATCCTTCTTCTTTCTGACTATTTGAAAAACTTATCTATCTGAATCTTGATTATTTTTTTATAACTATTTAAGGTATTTATTATCTATCAAATCCAATATCTTATTCAATGTTTCCTTTCTTTTAATCTTGATTTTGTATTGTATTCTTCTATATATAATAAAATACTTGATAGTGAATTTCAAATTCTTATATAGCTTTTCAAGTATATTATAATTCCCAATATCTTCTAGCAATTATATCTAGTTATAGGAATTTTACTAATAATCATCCTCCATTATCAAAAAGTCAGATTTTTTAACAATATTTTTGCTTTATAATAGTATAAGAATAAAACCAGTGATAAGGATCCTTGTTGATTATAATATTATTATATAACATTTGAGAAAATACATTCTTAATTATAGAAAAGGGCAGTATTATACCTTTTTTTACTTTTTAGTCTTATAGCCTGATCAAGATAAAGAAATAATCTTCTTCGTATATTTTACCTAACTAGAATAATAAGAAGTTAAAGGTCTTAGCTTAAACAAATAATTATTTTTTTATTACTTAGAGAATTTAATATCCATTTTAATAGTTCTTTACATTGATTACACTTCATTTGAAAAAGTGAAAAATTTTATATCAATAATTTTTTTTTTATCAATGACATCATTAGAACATATGATATAACTAATAGAAACTTGTTTATATTCTACTATTAATATGTTTTATATTAACCAATCATTTTTAACAAAAGCTATATCAATTTTGTATTATTTCAAAACTAGTTCCTTGAAATATAATAAACAGTAATAACTTGTTATCAATGATATATAAATTAGAA